AAATCTTTAAATAATAATAAATTGCTTTGGAATAATATTAAAAACATTATATACTCGAAAGGAAAACATAACACTAATTCTAAACTGTTTAATTTAAGGTCCTCGCCCTCTGAATCGGCTTACTTTATTAATGACTATTTCGCCAATATAGGATTACAACTTGCAAATAACATTCAACACGATACAAGAACATCTAAAACACTTATAGAAAATAAACCGACACAACCATATTCTTTTGTACTACTGCATACTCATGTTGATGAAGTTCGTAGCACTAGCCTCCATCTAAAATCAAACAGCGCCCCAGGATGGGATAATATTCCAAATAAATTTCTAATGTTGGCGGTTGATGACTTGGCTCCCGTTATCACCCACCTTGTAAATCTTTGCTTCTACAAAGGTGTGTTTCCTGCACCGTTGAAACAAAATGAAGATATTAGCAATTATAGGCCGATCTCGGTTCTGCCAGCAATATCTAAAATCTTAGAGAAACTACTTAATACTAGACTACTAAACTACTTAAATAAATTTAACAAATTATCATCTTCACAATTTGGTTTCAGGCGGGGAAAATCGACAGAAGATGCAATCACGGAGTTAAGCTCTTTTGTAACTAGGCAACTTGACAACAGTAAAAAGTGTCTGTCGGTTTTCCTCGATCTTAAAAAAGTTTTTGATACTGTGTCCATCCCCATCCTTGTGCATAAACTTGAAGATATGGGAGTAAGGGGGACTTCGCTTAACCTTTTTCAGAGTTACTTAACGGACAGCAGACAAAAAGTAAAACTAAATGGTTGCACTAGTGAAGCTGTTGAAGTGACGTATGGCGTACCGCAGGGCAGCGTTTTAGGACCTACCCTCTTTCTCATCTACATCAACGACCTATGTAGCATGAGGATCTATAACGCCAGAGTTTTGTCATACGCTGATGATACGGCTGTAGTATTTGCCGGTGATTCTTGGGAGGTGGTCAAAACTAGTGCTGAGGCTGGTCTGTTGCGAATCGCTCAGTGGCTGAAACACAACCTCCTGACCCTAAATACTTTTAAAACCAACTATATGTGTTTTAGTACTAACAACAACTCGCAACCTCAGGCCGACTTCAGTTTAAAAATTCATGAATGTACAACGGATACTAATAAAACACCTGTAACTGCCCTAGGATCGATAAGGTAGTTCAGACAAAATATCTGGGAGTAATTGTAGACCCAAGACTATCATGGTACCCACACCTTGATCATGTCATCTATAGAATGAGGAAACTAACTTGGATCTTCAAAACCCTCAGACATGTAATGCTGGGCAAATCGGATGAGGACTCACCAAATTAACTCCTCAATCAAATCTACATTGCTCTTGCTCAATCCGTCTTGGCCTACTGTATTCCTGTCTGGGGTGGTGCAGCAAAAACTCGATTTCTGGAGTTAGAGAGGGCGCAGCGTTCTCTTATTAAAGTTACGTACTTTAAGAAGAGACGCTTTTCTACCGATTTTCTATTTCGTATCAGCGGCTTACTCTCTGTCAGGAAGTTGTATATATTCTGGACAACCTTCAAAACTCACAAATCATTGTCTTATGATCCATGCCATTTAAATAAACGACGTAGAAACATGGTTGCCCAGACATACAGAACTAAAACCACATTTGCGAGCAGACAATTTATATCGCGTTCTGCCTTTCTTTGTAATAAAATAAACAAAGATATTTATATATACGACAAAACATATCACAACTGTAAAAAACTTTTGTTAGAATGGATTCATCATAAGACATATGACGAAATTGAGAAGCTACTGGATTGTGTAGCATGATTTGTTCAGATTCAGACACTGTAATCACACATACTCTTTTTAACTCACGCAAGCATAGACACACACACACACACACACACACACACACACACACACACACACACACACACACACACACACACACACACACACACACACACACACACACACACACACACACACACACACACACACACACACATACATAAGTAATAGAATTAATATAGAATTTAAGTAATATATAACATTAATATGGATATAGAATATGTTTATCCATACTGCCTTGTAACATGGATATAGTAATGGAAGGGCGGACCCTCCAAACACAGGCATTATTTGCTTAAATGGAGGTTTCAATCTACTAGTTTTTAAGGCATTTACTTTTTAAAAGCGAAATAAAATTTATTTATTTATTATTTATTATTATTATTATTTACAATAAAAAAGGGTCTCCGATTCTCTATGACACACTCTCACTCACATCCCCGGTTTAACCGACCTGTTTTGTCCCTGATAACATTTTGAACCAAATTTATAGCCTCAGCATAAATGCGACTTACAAGAATAGCTATGATATGGAGATTTCAGTCGGTATAAGAGGCGGAATCGCGTAAGAAAAGAGTTTAAGTTTAACTACGAACCTAATAAATATCGCAATTCAGTTCATTCATAAAGGTCACGTTTCACCGGAACCTTGTGAGAGCACGTTTAATGAATAACGCTAATTTAATTCTTATTCCGTTCGGTTTCGAAAGGTATCATTATACATATTTTAACATAATTTTCGTTATAAGTAAATATGGTAGACAATTTACAGAGAATTGAAATAAAGAATGTGTGAGTTTTAAAAATAACAGAAATCAGTTAAAATACTATTCGATTGAATGGAAAATGTGTACAGAAAATGTATTTCAAATAAATAAAATAAAAGTAAGTCAACAAACACACTTATTAATTTGATGATATAATTAAAATGATATACCCATTTCTAAGAGGGAATTAGAACGTTGAAAAGTCTACTACACTGCTCGATTGAAGTCCATTAATGACTTAACTGGTTTCACAGTCTGGAATGTACAGTAAAAAGCTATTTTCTTGATATAAGTATTTTTGAATTTAGACTGCGTTTCTAGTGATTCGCTCCACAGTAACTTTGGGAACACTTTATTGAATGGGATCAAGTTATATGAAGTAATTTTAGTAACTAAATTAAGTATTTTTAATCCAAGCCTACTATTGCGTTTGATATGAGGTTTCTCTGAACCGCAAACAATTAAACAATTAAAAAAATATTACTACTTATTGTATATCATTTCCTAGTATCCCAACGTAATAAATAATACCTTAATCATTATTATTTAAAATGGTAAATATGTTATTTATGTATTATAATAATAATAATTTTATTAACGATTAGCATGTTATTGAATATAAATTAATTTTCTAAAGATTAAGGGTTAACGTATGATTGTAGAGCTAATAAACTTTTGTTTCTGTATGACTATCTCGCGAGTCGTTTCTTATGTCATAATCTAATATATAAAAACTAATATCTGTTTGTTCAAATTTTATGCATTGCCATACCGTTCATTAGATTGCGCTAAAACTTTGTCAACTTATTGCTTGCATTTGCGCGAAGGTTTTAGGCATAGTACAATTAACTCGCAGTAGGGGGACGTACGTATCGTAATGACAAAGGAGAATGCCTGATTCTCTATAGAACTTTTACAATAAAATACCTATGTAGTTTTTTTTCTATAAAAGAGAACATAACAAGAAAACGTCTGAGGAGTAACATATTACCTAAGATCCGCTTAGTAAAATAAAAAGATGTGTCTCACGTAGTTTGAATAACACCTCCCGCTCTCTCTTAATTGCGTGCACTATCCCAGTCATGACTAATCCTAACACTACTGCTTCCAAACCCACTACACTAGGACACACCAACGTCTATAATACGACAGGAGTTTCGCCTCTAAACGGGGTATCCTCAGGTGAAATAAACTCTACGGTGGCTGACCGTTCAGTGATTAAAATAATTTTGGGGGCATGATTTTTTCAACTGGACTAACTGCCTCATAACCCACTCAGGCTTTTATGCAGCTGTAGACTGTTTACAGGCTAACAATGACAACTTTTTTTAATCCGTTCGAGCTATTGAATGAACTAATTTTGAGGATTTTATCATGTGTAATTTAACTATTTTAATTACGTTTCGGGCACTATACAGCACCAAAGGTTACGGGGGGAACTGAGGTGTTTGACGCCCTGATGTCCTAATTAACGAAGGCTACATTTAACTTCTAATTATTAATTTTTGTTTCGATTTATTCCGATAGAAGTAATAAACTTATAATGTTAATTATTTACTAATTTACCACTTGACGGCACGTTGTACGTAAACTTTGAGCCGAGATGAATGCACTCAAAATTTCCTGCCGCCATATATTGAAATGAAACCTCGTTGAACCAATACGTACAATTTAGTGCCGTCTGAGCGTTACTTGTATGTATATTCGATACTCAGCTACCGTAGCTGCCATTTCAACGATCTCACTTAAGTATTATGGGAATATTACGGTGAGCGGGAATAAGTGCAAAGAATTCGCATACAGAGAGCAAAATGGGAAATGATTTTAACTTTTTTATGACTGAGTATAATATTTTATCATAGTGTACATCACAGTTTAAATGAGGATTATATTATAATAATACATTTTATTTACAGAATAACGCTAACTTACGAACATTCAGATCGACTGATGGTAACTGAATGCTGAGGCCCATAGGCATCCACATCTGTCCTTGATTAACCCTTTCAGAACTGATTTTTTTTATTTTCGCTAATCGATCTGAAAAAAATGCCTGCAACTAGGCAATTGTACATAGATCTAAGGAAAAATAAATAAATAAATCCTGATTACAAGCTTTTCACGAAAAACAGCATTTTCTTTTTGTGTACAAGTGTACACATCCGTCCAACGTAATGAAAATATTAGTGTTAAGGGATGTTTATCTATAATGATAGAAACATTTATTTTACAACTTTTTATTAGGAAATACGAAGCAATATGAAATAACAAATATAAATAATAGTATTCTCTTTATAAAAATTAACAAAAAATGGCTTTTTCTTTGGGTAGATTTAACAAATTGCACTTAAATCACAGTCTAAATTAAAATTAAAATCAAAGGCATCAATATAGCATCCTATGTATGAAATGCTAAGAAGCAATTCTTATCCTTAGTTAGGCATAAATGAACCTTGCATTTTATGCATTTGATTCGGGTTCTTCCCTTGCATCCCATCATTTTACACCGTGTCCCAAGCCCCTCATCGTGTGCAGGAAAATGCCCAAAACCGTCTCGAGTTATTTCAGCTTCTGGGCGTGTCTCTCCTGGTCTCCTAGATACAATTTGAAGAGTTGGGCTACCGCTACTTGGACGGCCCCTTTTACCCATCGAAATTTTATTTTGCAACACCAGACTTTCAGCCAACCGACGCCGAAAGTGAAGCAATGTCAGTTGTTTGTTTTTAGGTATGCTAAGCGCCTCGTTATCGACTTGGTATTCTCGGTATGCTTGAACTACTGCTAAATCTGATGCATGGAATATCATGCGTAAGGTCCATTTTTTTGATTTTATAAACGTCCTATAGTAACTCATGAGTTGATCTAGCAAATCTACTACTCCCATGGCATGATTGTACTTCCTTACAACTTCGGGACGTTCCACTTCAATAAAGTGCTTATCTTTTTTACACCACCTCTTCACTAAATCTTTTTCACCAATTCCAACAAAATTAGATGCTAAATGGGTAATCTTATTATCCAACCATTTGACCACAGTTACATCTTCATCATAGCTAGTGATTTCTTGAGCAAAGCCTCGCGGTTTTTTGTTCATTTCTTTGTCGCTTAGTAATGATGGTTTTACAAATCTGTTGATACGGATAGTGCCAGCAGCCATTATTCCTCTCTGTTTTAAAATTTGTAGCAGATGGTAGGACGAAAAATAATTGTCGAAGTATAGCTGGTGACCTTTGCTTTCTCCAATTCTCTTAGTAAGATGAAGGACTACAGCTGCACCGTATCCAATTTTTTTTGTTAAATTATTATCTAATTCTGGACTGGAACTCTGATAAAGGATAAAATCGTAAGCTTGACCATGTTTACCACATAAAAAAAAGATTTTCAGACCCCATGGACAAGGCTTGCCCTTTATATACTGTTTGGCAATATGTTTTCCGGTGAAAGGAATAATCTGTTCGTCAACACAAAGGTTTTTCTCGAGTGGTAAATCTAAACACCTCTTTCTAACAGCATCAAAGATCGGGCGCACTTTGATAAACACATCTTTAGAATTACCTGGTATTGCTGTATTTTCAACCAGATGTAAATTGTTACGCAGCTCAAAAAATCGGTCCCTTGCCATGTTTTCAGTGAACAAGGGAATGCTGATATTTGTTTCCCAATACATTTTCAAACAAAGGTACCCAAATATTCCAGTGGCCAAATGCAATCCAAACAATATTTCTATTTCATTGGCAGTAGTAGGTTTAAACCTTACTTTATTGGAATATGTAGCGTATAAGTTTGTCATTTCAGCCATAACCTGAAATAATTGTTTAGGCACGTATCTGTTATAATAATCTACTAGGCTTTCAACTCTGGGATCAATAGAAATGGGTGGAAACCAAGCTGGTGAAATTGTGTTTACTATTTCCTTGTGTCTCCACCTAATACTATGCTTCGGCGTAATATTCTGTAAAAGCGTATCTTCAGAGGCGGAAGGCACTTCTGGTAAAAAGTTATCACTCATTTCAACCCACGATGAGCCAGCGTCTTCATCATCACCATCCAAAGCTGGGGTGAATATTTCTCTTTGGTTCCGGCTGATGACATCTGCTCCCACTCGGACACATCGTAGTTCCCGTTCAGACGCAGGTCCAACTGGTCCTTCGTCATCAGAAGATAATTCTAAATCAGAAAGGCAACCTTCTTCTAGTGCTCTAATAGCGTCGCGCGAAAACATATTGGTGATTTCTTATCTGAAAATAGTATTAACACAATTTGTAACATCAAAAACAACAAAATTACACCATTCAATAACAATTATAATTTATTTTAGTAATACCTACGAAGTACAACAACAAATCAGAAATACATCGTATGCGCCTGATGTGTACATTTGTGTATAAATATAAAAATCACGAAAATTTGTACAAAAATAAACTAAAACCAACAACATGTATGTAAAATATGACGACAACAATATATCACATCGATCTATAAATATTTCATTACATATACTTTGATATTTTCTACTTTTTAGAAATAAAATAATGAACTTACCTGCACAATGCAAACTTCGTTCGGCTACTGGTCCTAACTTGCCAAAAACTGTCATTAAACGCTAAGAGATGGCGTTGGGAGTATCGTTTTCGGTAGTTTATTATGTGAACTAATGAACACAACCGTTTTTAGTTGCAAATAATGTGAAATTAATACTTAAATTTACTTTTATATTATATGTGTACAATTGTGTACACCAGGTCTGAAAGGGTTAAGAATCAAAGTGCAGATCGGTCTCCCGTTCTCTTCACTCACTATAGTAAACACAGCAGCATTAGGCTGCTTTTTTACTCGTAATCTGTGACTGCGTGCTCCTTCCCCGCTTAAGCCAACCTATTCATACTACAACCGTAATATACGTGCAGCGTGGCTCTATTACGTACATACATACAACCTATATACCATGTATATATTATGGTCTTTGTTTATATCTACAGAAGTCTTTAAATATTATAGTAGCCAACTTCTCCGTATTCTATAGGATACATTATGGAGAGTGTGCGCAGGAATTATATGCCTTAATTCCTCCCTACTCGTTCCAACATCGGACAACCATGCGGTCGACTGGTCTTCACATCATTGTTTTCGAAATCCCACGCATTTGTACCATACACTTTACTTCGTGTGTGAATATTAATGCGTACTTAAGAAGTGGAAATGCGATCTCTTACGCTGTCACGTCTCCACCTATTACGTGTACAAAATAGACTGGCATCGTCACTCTAATGTGATTATGTAATTAGCCTGACTGCCGTTTGGTAACTCCAAGTACGCTGTTGATGAATTGGTGTATTATAAAGGAATTTAGAATTATATCTTTGATTTCATAATAAAACATAAATTGATATTTTCTTGTGTGATTGCTGGATGCAGAGTAAACAGGGCCCTTCGCTCAATTATGCGAAGTCAGAATGCGTCAAAAATGGCACATAGGGCAATTTATAATGCTGTGTTAGTCTCTTCTTTAATGTATGGTAGTGAAAGTTGAATGTGAGAGAAGAAATATGAAATTAAAATTAATGTTGTACAGCAGCGTAAGTTTCACAATACGGTACAATAAACAACGCTGCAAAATAATAAAGAAATAAAAACAGTAACATATCACGATTTGGATGTGTATATTCTGCTTGTAATACGCTTTCAATTGGCCGTTGAACTAAATGTCGTTCAAATGTATAAATCGAAGATTCAAATTTTGCATAAATTATAGCATATCAAGTGAAACATATAGCTTCAAATCAAATATTGGTATTTGTGCCGTGTAGTGGCTTTGATATTCACTATCCCATATTGTCCCGTGGGTGTTGTAAGAGGCGACAGCGGGAAACAAACCAGGAGATGGGGCAGTAGCGTCAAAAAAAACAAAAGCTGTTGTTGTAAACCCTCCTCCCAGGCGTGGCAGCTATCGCAGATATCCCCCCTATGAGGTAATATATAGGTGGGCCTATGTTCAACTTTGGACTCTGATAGGCTGCGACAGCGAACTCATAAGTAATAATGATAAATTATAGTGTATTATATAAACGGCACCGGCCAATCTTCTTAACTAGCGTGAAGATAAAAAAAAGTAAATCCTCATTACGACGACTCTCCCCATATATCCAGTTGTGATGTTTTACGGACAGATAAAGAAAAAGTAAGAAGAAAGATGTTATGTGTTAAAAATCGCAAATAAATTGCCTTGCGAGAAAAGCCTAACATAAAATAACTACTTAGATATCTTTCGATTTAGGCGATAGAGTGAGATAAATTGCCGCAATTAGTCGTAACTACATCGTTCTCAATGAGACGGTGAGCATAGCTAGTTACCTACTCAGGACTTCTAAAGATTTTGCTTGTGATCACTAAGAGTTATAGATATAATACTATATACCTATATACTACTGCACGTGTGTTTGTTACTGAACTGATCGATTAGAACGATTTTGATGAAATTTTGTGTGTGTGTGTGTGTGTGTGTGTAATCAAATTGATTTGAGATTGGTTCAAATTCACAATTGGACCCGGTGGCGCTGTTGTCGAGAACCAGAATTCACCCTTGCGAAGCCTAGGCAGATCGCTGGTAGTGAATAAAATTATTTTAATATAAGATCTTCACGATATTATCTTAAAAATACTGGTATATTATTTTTCTTTTGAGAGAGAAAAAAAAGCAGAAATAAAAAAAGTCCTTATGGATTTTATAAAAAAACGTTTATTTACTTTCCTAAATTATTGAAAGGGCTTGACCACGGCAAATCAATTAAATAGATGAAAAGTATGTTTGTCATAATTTATAAAACAAAAGCTAATTTCTTAATTTGTTTTTTTTTGTATCTCTGCAGTGGTTTTTATAACGACGTGAAATTTACACAGTGGTTAAATAACCTTTCCATTGCGAGTTTTATTGTACTAAAAATTCTTTAGACACTGACTCATCTATTTAAACACCGAGTTTTCAAACGTCAGTTAAAAGTTATTCATGAAATAAGTTATAAAATGAAATGTAGATGCGTTTTCACCCCGATAACTTTTATCTGACTATTGAAAAATCCGGACAAAAACAGGCCTAAAGTACATAAACGTTAAATAATAACTGAAGGTATAAAATTGATATTTTATTTGTCTCAAAATAAATAATAATTTGTACAAGAAAAAAATGTTTGCAAGTATGGAAAAATTATTCACAGTGATACCTTACTTTGATGCAATATTACCATCAATATGACTTAGAAGAAAGGTACGTGCGACTTAAAAAAAATGCGGTCGCCCACCCACCGGCAAAGCAAATTCGTGGTGGCAAATATCCTATAAACGACATAACTAGAAACATTCACTAAAAAGATTTAAAAAAAGCCATGCTGCAACTATAAGGTTTTTGGAGTTAAAAGTTTGTCAATACTCGGAATATTAGTTGGTTATTAGTTATGATTGATAATTATGTAAGTATCTCATTAGGTTTCTACCTATGTACTGACTAATAACGATATCTTTGGAATCATAATGTCTAGAGACTTTAAATTTGGTAGAAATATTCCTTTCTCCGAGTAGAGGTCAGCTAAGAACGGATTTTACGAATTTCCACCCGCAAGGAGTTGCGGGGGCGTTACTTAAAAAATTAACTCAGTTTTCAAACTATAGTTCTTATAGGTATAAAACTCGTCCAGAATATTCTTTTTGTTTTTTTTTTCAATAAGAAAGGGTGACAAACGAGCACATAATCCACATGATGGTAAGTGGTTGCTGTGGCCCATAGACATCTACATCTATCCTCAATTGCGAATCAACATGCAGATGAGATGTCACCCGTGAGGACTAAGATGGAATGCCTATTTTCCAGTTAAAAGGGTCTCCGGTTCTCTACACTCAACATACGGAACACAGCAGTGGTAAGCTGCTGTTTTACGCTGGTATTCTTTGAGAGCGTGGTCCTCCTACCGTGGAGCCGACCCATTCGCACTACAAATATACTACTAATATAGCTTCAGCATTGCTCTACCGCGTATAAAAAAATTGGTATGTTAAAAATGACCAAGAACTGATTTATTAAAATTCCACGCACAAAAGGGCAGTGCGGGGGCGTTGAAAAAAATTAAACTTTTAATCTATAGGTTTGAAATTTGGCGAAATTATTAATTTTTGTCATCTTAAGTTCAACTGAGAACGAATTTTACGAAATCCCACTCACGAAGGGGATTGCGGGGGCGTTATAATGAAAGTAAAAAAATTCTGATGAAATTTTTTGAGTATATTTGCGTGAAATCCAGGATGGTTTAGATTTACAATTCTACCCGGTAGGTGGCACTGTTGTTGAGACCCAGAAATCACCCGTGCGAAGGCGGGGCGGAAGGCGTGTATATAAGTAGTAAAAAAGATTAATTTTACTTTACTATTTTTGTGTTTGGCAAATTTAGATTCACAAAAAATTACTTTGCGCACATCCGCTAATTTTTTGTTAACTTTAATATAATGGACTTTCGCAAAGTAACGCCTGATAATCTATTAATTAAATTTAGATTTACGTCAATTAGCGGGTTTTTCAAACCATTGTAAGTAATTTCCATATTGCATGCATTCAATTAAGATAATGAAACTTTGTGGATATCATTGTAATGCAGCATAAAGGTAGTGGATAAATCAACCATTACATAGTTCACATACGTTCCCATTTCCTTAACTACATTCGTGTGATAATATATAGAGAGAGTTAGAAGATATATATAAGAATAAGAATAATTTTTTAAGGCCATGGTCCATATATTGTAAGTAATGTTGTTAGTAACAATATTGACTTAAAACTATGTTAGTATTGTAAGTAATTACACATTATTTTAATCCTATGTCTATGCCCACCCAGTGATTCTATATGGGACAGTCATATCTTACAGATATCGCTCTCAGGATGCTGTTATTATTGTTCCGTAAGCGTTTCAAGAGTGAGGCTGTTCTTCTTCCGAATGATCGCTGGAAAAGTATCAGTACGCGCTTGCGAAAATATACCTGACGCACGGCAGCCGCAGCAACATCCTGAAAGCGTTATTATACTGTATGCGCAAAGCATTGTAAGGTCGACGCATATAATATGTCACCCACAAGGCACTAGAGTAAAATGATAGACAAAACGCTTTGAAAAGCGTTATTTTAACTATATCTGTACATCTAGTGAACCTGCGAGCAAGCATATTGCTCTCACTGTCAACG